TTTAGGTTGCAGGGTAAAGAAGAGATGATTCAACATTTCAGACAAGATAACCTCAATCCTACAGAACAATTAGCTGCTGACAGTGACATACAGTAGAGCGCGATAATAAACTCTACAAAGGGGAGGGGTCTCCACAGTCCCCAGCATATGGTGGCTTTTTAATCTGCCATCAGAAGAGTCTGGACAGCAGACAAGGTTTTATTTTAACTGAATGTTTTCTCAAAATCTTGTATTCACAATCAACTGCGAATACAATAAGCTGATCCAAAAGGTGGAATAAACAAGTATTCACAAATCATAAAGGACTTCAGGAGAAATTCAGCACTAAAAGAACACATATCCAGATTGAAGAAGTTGCCAAGGAAACCAGAGACTAGAAGCGCTCTCTTTTTTTTAACTTGATAGAGTAGCACTTTTCTGGGTGAGAGGCTGCCGATATGCTTTCCGGGGTCACAACCTGCCCTCCATTAGAGGCTCTGAGTAATCCCAATAGGTGAGCCCAGCCTCAGACCCCTTAATCATTGGGTTGACACCTGCTTTTGTCCTCCTCCATCACATGACCCGACCCCCCTCCTACTCCACCCCCCAGGCTGGGTTTGCGGGGTTAACGTGTCACCCCCCTGTACCTCCTCTCCTCCCACCAAGCCTTTTCATAATCCTATTAGACCCAGTCATCTGCGCTGCATTAAAAAAATGTGATGATTGATCTGAAAACACAAACCCTCTGTGTCCTGAGTTTGCCAAAAGGAGTCTCTTTTCACATGTAGATGTTAAAAAAACGTATAACACAAAATATGAAACATGTTTTGTCCTTGTTTAGGACTTTTTGTTTTCTAAAAATGTTGTGTGGCAACACAATTGGATTCAAATGGCTATTGGGTGTAAACAACACAAACAAACTCTTTAAACTGATCAGAGAAATAAAAGCGTTGTTTTTGAGGTCTTACCTGTGGAAAAAAGCTAAAAATCACTTTGCAGATTGAGGAGATAAAATACTTAATGAATAAAATATGTCCTCTAGCTTCCCTATACATTTATGATCTTGTGTGTGAGCTATGTACCACTTTAAACACTAAGAAATCTACATGGAATTATTATACAGCACTGAGGGTTCATCCTATAAGTTGACATAGGCCGGTCAAATATTTCAAATTCTAATACTTCTGAACAAAGCTTTATTATAGTCCATACTCAAGCGAGGCAAGTCCACTGCCATGCTTGCGGCTTCGTGATGCAGTTTTTAGTCACAGCGTTGCTTTAGGCTAAATGCTAACGTCAGCATGCTTACATGCTAAAAATGACAAGACTAACATACTGATCATAAGCCGGCATGCCATGTTTACTATCGTAGCTCAGTTTATAAGCATGCTAACATTTTACTTATTAGCACTTAAGTTAAAACTACAGTTGAGGCTGTTGGAATTTTGCAGGTATTTAGTAATAAAACTAAGTATTGGCCAAATTAAACAATGATAGTGCTAGATGAAAACACATGTGATCACTTAAGTTAAAATTAATCCTGTGGGAAAAAGAAATGTCTCTAATGAAAACCATATAAATGTTTCGGATCGTGGTTGATCAATTTCACTCACCAATGTTAACCTCATGGTGTTGATGGCTCTAGGTGAAATGTCCACCTGTATCATCTGGGCACCATGACAATCTGTAGAACATTTTGGAACAATCCCCTTCTTTCCCACTCGGAGACAAAATAAGCTTTGTAAATGTTAACTCTCTGTGGATCTGATGTACATGTTAAACAGCCTATTGTATTAGCTTGATCAAATACTCCTAAAAACCTCTAAAGAAACACTGAAAAATCGGCTTACATAACACATTAGCAGCGTCTATTTCCTGAGGAGGAACTTGTTGGGTCTTTTCGCCCCTTGGGTCCCTCTTGGCACAGAGAGTGACCATCAGTGGGTGGAGTTGCAGATTGGAGTGGCATGGTTGCAGCTCAGGAATGTGAGGAATTCCCCTTGTAAACACCTCATGCTCCGATGGTCGCCATACTCTTATCTCTGCGTGCCCATCGCCCCCTTTATCATCATAATGGTAAGTCATACATCACCAGCGAACTGCTTTTATTTTGCTCGGTTAGGGCAGGTGTGATTGCTGCTACTCAAGTCTTTTGTTTACCTGAGGCCCCACATAGTAAAGCCTTTTATTAACTGGTACCCCCAATGGGCAAACAGAGCCAGCTTTAAAACCCACTGTATACAGTATAACGGCTTTCAAGTGTTAAGACTTTGAAAGAAGCATGACCAACCCAGGCTTCCTATGGTCCTATGGGAACACTCTTTAGTTGATACGATCATAAGTGTCTGAGGGGGGGGGGATTTATTTTTCTTCCTAGATGAAAAGAGAGGCTTTCGCTTGCTTTTCATCGTGGCACCTCCCCCCGTGGTTCCTGTATACGAGCACCACTCTCAGCTTAAATGAAAGTCATTTCAAAAGCAGCTGAGGGCCTTCGTTAATACTGCGTGGAAAAGAAACGGCGCAGGCACAGGCTGGCTTTTTCCTCCCTTCGCTTCGGTGAAATCCTGTTTTGGCCACTTGCTGTTTTTTAAAGCCGGAAAAAGGTGCAAAGTCCATCCTGAGCACATAATGTGCAGCAGGAGGGGGCCATGGGGGCTACATTCCACCTCATGGTGTACCATTCTCTACCAGTCATGAGGGACGCTTACTTACAAGCATGAAACCCGCTCTCACTGCCATGGCCACATTGCCTAACAGATTCCATCTTGGACCAAGAGTCAGAAACCAGATTTTCCCTTTTCCTGGAACTTCCCCGATACGTTTGTTTAAGGGAGGTCTGTCCCTATGTGAAAGCTGATAATTTCCGGTGTTTTCCATTGTTAAATGTAGGCTTTTCCTGCCATTGGCGATAAGAAAACAGCTGTGAAGATCCCCCAAAAATTATTCCAAATGTTGACGGAAAATATCGTCCCAAATGGGAAGGTGTTGAAATGAGTAACACACACTTTGGCCTCCATAGCACAGTACATCAATAAGAACTGGAAATATTTGAGTTAATAAACAAATGACTTAATCTCTAAAATGTAAATTAATTTGGAAACATACTCATCACATATTCACGAAGCAGATGTCTTCAAATCAACATAAAAAAGCGTGAATATATTCATTTATATATATGCAAATCCTTCCAATTTAGAAGATGAATCCAGAACATCTTTTGTGTTTCATACTAGGGATGCGACTCACTTTTAGTCAAGACAGAATAATGTCAGAAAGTATTACATGGATTTCATGAAATGTTGTACGGACATTCATGGTCCCTAGAGGATGAATCCTAATTTGGATTCATCCTCTAATCTTCTGACTTCCTTCCTCTTGTACCACCGTTAGGTTCATATTTGTGATTTTAAGAAAATGTCTTGTCAATAGTGAGATTTAGTAAAGCCATTCATGTTCCCCAGTGGATGAATTCCTACACTTTTGGTGATCCCATAACTTGCCCTCTAACACAAGACTAGCCTCAGCCGTATTTTGTGTGCTAATTAGCAAAAGTTAGCATTATTAACTTCAGCCTCACAGCCCCTGCCATGACTGTAATCCTAGTTGCTTGAACAATGATTGAAATACAAATCAGTTAAAAGAAAGTTGGTCATTCATTTTCTGACAATCAAATAATAGATTACATGTTCAAACACTTGATTTGGGACAATATTTACTGTTAAAAAACACTTGACTTAACGTCAAACCATTCTAATTCTATGAGTCAAAAGATGCTAAAAACAAAAAAGGTTTTGGAACCAATTAATGTTCTTTATAAAGCATTGTATTATCAACTGCATGCTATTTGTATAAAGGGTATATTCATAACATTTTCGACAGTTTGCAGTACTGACATCTGTCCAGATATATATAACCACTGTTTACAAAAATATATTCTCATCACTGTGAAGTGCTTTGCTCATACAGTATGTTCCCTAATACCCATTCATGGTATCACAGCATGTCAGCTTGCCCTGAGGAAGCTGTCAGCTACAGATGTCAATACCCCTGAAAACCCCTCTCCCTCCCCCCACCAATGCACACACATGGCACTGGAGGATTGTCCCCCAGAACAAAGGGCTGGGGGGTTTCTGTGGACAACAGGCAACCAAACATTCCTGGCACAATGGACAGAGTGGCCGGCAGGTTCAATTAGAACACACTTTACCCTATGCCCTATACATCCCACTGTGCTTGAAAACAAAGCTGGAGCTTCACACTCGAATGGGGTATTTGGTGATGCCCGCTTGTTTGTGGTGGTCTTATGTTTTAAGAGAGTTTCTCCTATTATCTGCATTGTTGCTGCCATGTTGCCTGAGAAATAAACCACTTGAAGGGCACTCAGGGCCGAGCTCATCAAGTTGCAAGATTGATGGCTCTCCCAAAACTTGTTTTTAGAAGTAAACTAGCTTACTACTGCTGCAAATAAACTTGGACAACAGCCAGCCACTGCATGGCATCTTTATCATAAATCTTTCCAAGAGCCACTCAAAGTCTTAAGGAAACACTTCAGAGAACATCTTCTTAACTCACCATGATACTTCTGTTTTAAGGATTGCTAGAGACAATTGAATCCCACACAAAACGTTAATCTGCCAAACAAACATTGGAGTTAATCCAATGTTTTTCCTAGTAGAAATGGGATAACCAAGAGAGCTTCCAGAGAACTGACCAGCATCAGGTCAACTTCTATATCATGCAATACATTAAATGCTTCTCTAAACCAATGGGAAACCATACATTGGGATATGTTGCAGTGACAGTTGGATGCAGCACTGAAAGTGATTTGCTGCTCATGTCTGACAGACACTGCCGCTCATAACTGCCTGGAAACATTCATCCAGGATTTCAACAAATCAGATGCTCAACACAATCAATACGCAGAGGGAGCCTATTGCAAGAGCCGTCAGTAAAACACAGTACAGGTAGGACACATAGAGGGTGAGCTGTCTGAACACAGAGAAATACACTGATGTACTTACCTATTATACACAAGGTGCGCCGGTCGGGTACTTGGCGTATCCGAGAGAAATGAAGCCCCAAAGCCGTTGTGTCACACTTCACACCATCCGGGCGCACATGTTGCCAGTCCCCCAACGAGAAATGTCACAATCATGAGCCGCAACAAGAAGCCAAGTGACTGCAGGAGGGACCGTGTCGCCGCACAGCGTGTCCACTCGCTGGATCAGATGCGTAGGGCGCCACCCTTTGCCGGACCTCCGGGACTCTTCGCCCACTTTTTCCTCCGTCAGCCTTGACGTCGTAAATAACGGGACATGGAGCAAACTCTCCGCCTGTAGGCAGCGTGATCCGCGCGGCCACTGCTGATGATCGCTGGGTAAATGCGTGGTGCGCAATTAAAGAGGCGCGCAGGACGCTGGCGGTGCCACCCACCAAAGGAGGGTTTCGTGTGTACGGACAGGGAATTTTAATGAGGACTGCTGCAGAGTTTCCCTCCCTGCTCAGAGTAGTGCTCTCCCAGTGCTGGAATCAAATTGTCCCGATACAAAAACCCTAAAGTTACCTTACAGGAGAGGAGGCCATGTGACGAAGTGAAGCGTCAATGCAACTCTTGGCCACCTGCCAGTCAGTAAAGTGGGAGATTAGCCCTGTGGACACCTGTTGACGAACACAGATAAGATGCACTGACTGAATGGCTAACTGTAATAATAAATATTGTTCTATTTAATATTTACAAACCTAGCTGCTCTCAGGGCTGCAGATCCAGTAGGATCACATTCAAGCTGCGGGACACCAAAATTCTGTGAAATAGTTAATTGATTCATTAGTAACCCTTTAGGTCACTGACTTACTAAAACTCTTTCTACAGCGTCTTTGTATTAAAAAATAAATAAAGATAATTTTTAATACAGTTTGGGTTGAATCTAAAAATAAAAACACAATACTAAAAAAGTATTGGAATAAATATAATTTCATCAGATCATAGATTGTTCCTCTCTGCTCGACACATCCTCTGAGTCATACACTGGAATGATTAGAGTAGGAGAAACAATACAATATGCATTAATCATCATATTTCAGATAATGTGTCCTGCGTGCTACAATGGTTTGTTGTTTTCATGGGTTGGGTTTAATCTTTATTTTCAATCTGACAATTAAAATTTCTAAACTGTTTGTTTTGAGTAATACTAAAATAGACTAACATTAGACCATTACATAAGATTGTTGATCAGTTTAGTGTAGTGATACAGCCCAGTGGATCTCAAACTCAGGAGAGGAACCTATTGAAGGGGCCACAAGAAGACAAACCGGGTAATCTGAAAACCACCAATGGGGCACATCACAAATAGATGCCAAATGAGTCATGTGACCATGTACCCCGAGCAAACATTGTCCATGAGGCTAAAAGGTTAGGACACCACTGCTCTAACTGAATACCTGACAGTACTGATGGTGGTGAAAAGTGGAACTCTGCATGTTCTTTCCGTGTTAACCTTTACAAGTGACCTTAAACTGCCCCTTCCTTTTTTGGAAGCCCTCGGAGCCATCAGCCTGAGTCATGTTCCTCTGTCAGTCCAGCTCTTGCTCCTTTAATCCCACTCATTACCTCTCAAACAGCAGTTCAACAACGAGTCTGTAGTCAGCTGCTGCATCTATTATGAGGTTAAACCACTTACCGTCCATATGGGAGGGAACAAGGGCATCTAACCTCAGCTGACACCCTGGTATGAAACAGCACTTTGCTTCACCAAAGACCTAAATCAACACAGGGTAAACAAAATCTGGTGTTTACTGCAGGGGGAGATCAACAGCTGATAGCAGGGGCCACATAATCACATGGGTTGGGAAGAATACAGCCATTTTTTTTTAAGTTTGAGTGTTAGAATTGCTTTTATCAGCCAAGGGAGGCCTAATTAACTTCTTGCTACTAAGTGAAGAGAAGAATAGACACTGTTGGATGTTGTCGATTGGTATAACATTGTCTATTTAGATGCAAAAAGTAGGTTTGATTGTTAAAAAAACAATGAAAAAAAGCATATTTGTATTTACAAACTTGCCTTCTCATTCCATGCTTTTAAAATCGCTTGTAACAGAGACCAGAGTACTACAGTGAATATTTACTGCCCTCCACAGGCCACAGACTATCATTGCACCCAATTACAAAACATGACTCAACATTTTCTACAGACCATTATTGAGTCATCAATCACGGCTACAGTCTCACAGTGCACTACAAAAACTGCAAAGCACTTGATTTAAGATTCCAGAGAGGCGAAACAAATGCTACATTTATTTTTATTTTTGATATAAAAAAATCTTATTTACAATCATAGATATGGGAATTTTTTTATGATAATATTTAGTGGTGACATTTTAGTTCAGACGTGTTTTTTTCAGCTTGGCGTTGTCGGCTGCTGCTTTGCGTTTACGTGACGGAGTGCCTGGAGTTTCTTCAGTGGAAGCTTCTGTCAGGAAGTACAGCTCGATGGGCGGGGTGGGTTCCTGTGTCGGTGCATAAAACAAACCTTTAACATTGAATCTGGTCTTGACAGATGTCACACACACCAATACATGTCAAACTTAAAAAAGAGGGATTTCAATTCAATCTGTTCCATTTTTTTTTACTGCTTTCAATAGATGAATAAAACTTACTTGGGGTCAATATTTACAAAGCTAATATAACCACCACGGCCCCTGGTAGACCCCCACACACACAACAACACAGCTATGCTATAACACCCCCTGTTGTGAAATACAAATATATATATGCCGTTAATAACTGTGAAATATATACCTGGCTGCTATATCTTCACACTCTTACAGGATGTGTATTTTGTAAATTGTGTAATTATTTTTTAAATGTGTTTATCTTTAATATTTTCTTATGCATGCTTCTTAGTTAATATAAAGCTGTCTTTGTCTCTTTTCTTGCTGTAACAAATGCAAATGTCCCCTCTGTGGGACGAATAAAGGTATTCTGATTCTGACTACTTAAGCCCGTTACATATACATACATATTACGATAAAGGGAGGCAAACCTAGAAATACTCCACTCACCTGCATGAGGTAGTCTGCGATGTACTCGGGCTTTAAGCATGTGACCCCCTGCGAGGTAGCCTCTGACACGTCCACTCGGAAGTCTCCGGGCTTCAGCCGACTGAAGTCTGCGAACAGGTGGGTGGTCTCCTTGTACAGGGACGGAGAGGGACTCGGCAGGACCTGGGAAGAGGAATTACATGAGTGCCATGGGTCTTTACAGGGTTCTTACACCTTTTCCAAAGACAAATTCAAGCACTTTTCAAGCATTTTCAAGGTGAATTTTCAAGCTTTTCAAGCATCTTACAGCTGTTGTAAATTACATATTTATATACACATACTTATACTCAAATGATTATTTCCCTACCTCACATTAAATCAGATGTTCTTTATGCTATAAACAACCAAATGTGTGTTTCATAATAGCATTCTACATGAGGATGAACAATTAAAGAAAAGAAAACTAAGTTTAATATTTCAAAATGAGTGACCCATCTGTACGTAGACTGGGCATCCCATATAACCTGGCTGAGCCAATATAAAACAATCAGCCAAATAACCTTTCAATACATTATTGATTACTATTTTTGAGGTACTTTTAGGTTGGCAGTAAACATAAGTGAGAGGTAAATGGTGTACTTTTCCTCCACTACATGTATTTAATACCTTTAGTTACTTCACAGATGTGGATGAATGATGTGAAATCTAATCAAGTGTTAAATCAGACTTTAGTTCCACCTGGAGTAAATTCACAAGCTACCCTGCAGTACAAGTCATTCAAACTAGCTGCACCTTTACCAGCTTTGAGAACACTTTCATGATCAATCATTATAAAACATATCATATATATTATTCTGAAATGGACCAATCTGCACAATGACTACTTTTACTGTCGCTACTTTCACTATATTTTGATGAGAATACTTTTACTTGAGGAACATTTTGAATGCAGTACTTTTACTGTAACAGAGTATTTCCTACACTCTGGTACTTCTACTTTTACTCAAGTACAAGATCTGAGTACTTCTACTTTTACTCAAGTACAAGATCTGAGTACTTCTACTTTTACTCAAGTACAAAATCTGAGTACTTATACTTTTACTCAAGTACAATATCTGAGTGCTTATTCCACCTCTGGTAGCGTATTAGCCTGAATTGTAGCCACAAAATCAGAGCCTCAGAATACTGAAATCTGTATATATTTTTTTCCTTCTAATTTGTTATTATTTGTGGCCCGCTCTATCGAAATCAGTCAAAAGTCGCAACGGCTCATTTAAAAAATAAACGTGGATTTGTGTAAAATCGAATCAATACATTATATTTTGTGACTATAACACGAAATGCCGTGAGACTGGGTTGAATTACAAGTGAGTGCTTCATCCTCTGAACACCACACAATGGCGACTGTAACGCACATATTAACATAGGTACGCTCCTCTGAAATGATTGTCCCCTGCAATTATTATTATCCCTCATCGAGTTCGCTATTTAGCTTGCTAACGTTAGCTTAAACAAACGTAACATGCAACGTTAGCCTAATCTAAAATGCTCTACTACGGCGTACCTTTCATGTGGCTCGTCAGCGCAGACTCTCGCATCGTTATTTTTGCAAACTTTGCAGGAGGCTACTCGTGGGATTGACCCTCGTCTTAGCCATGGCTTGTATTTGTCTGCTGCTAGCCAACGCTCGTTGTAACTGCAACATCCTGGCATACTACTGTCATCTATCACTCTCATCAGAATGCCCAGGTCTCACGTAACACAAACACTTGCCGGTCACGCGCATAGTGCGGGAAGGCCAGAGCGGAGCTGTTTTATGTAAAAGCGAAGCAATTAAGCGCGCTCCGACTTCTTCATTTTCTTTTAATCTAAAAAGCGAAGTAAAGTATTTACAATTTCAAGCACTTTATCCCAAATTCAAGCACCATTCCCAAAATTCAAGCACTTTTTAAACCTTGAAAACACCTCGTACAATTTCAAGCATTTTCAAGGATTTCCAGCACCCGTACGCACCCTGTCTTTACTATGCATACCTTTTGGTTAGACAAAGATTCTCTGAAAAAGGGCCACAGTTCACAAGATACTGTCTAAAAAACATCTTTTCTTTTTAGAGACAGCCACCTTTGCCCTGCCAGACTGCAGTAACCGCCTGAAGCCTGATTCTCTGCTCTGATCGATGTTCAGCATGACCGTCCATCCACTGAAGGCTCCCTGAAGTAAAAGAACATATAGTATATTTTACCACTCCAGTAGTAGATGATACATTATTTATGTCAGCAGGACTGTTTTGTTAGCTTTCTGTGTGAGTACCTCCTGCTCCGAGCGCCCTTGCAGGGTTTTTCTCCAGCGCATGGCAGCAAACGCCAGCCTCCTCTGCTGCGAGGTGATGGAGGGCAACGCATCCAGGATGGAGCTGCTGCCCCACTCATACTCATCCTCCTGCAACACACACATATATTTGGGATTATACACTGTAGTATTAATTGAAATTAAGAAAAATGTAGTTGTGCAGCTAATGGCAAAAGAGCATATCCTAGTTTCAGGAAAATACGACTGTTACGAAATACAGTTTGAATCTCTTATATGCTAGAATTGTAGCTAATAAAAGACTTGTTAAATAGGAGAGGTGATTGGACTGCAGAGCTCCTCATTACTTCAAAGTCTAGTTTAAAAAATATATATATATTAAACACTAGGTCATGTTAGAAAACTTAATGTACCTATTTCAGACCATTGTATGCTCAATGTTGATACCAATTTCAAGATAAGATCACAGACAATTTTCTCTCAAAAGCTTTGTTTTTGGATGAACATAAATGAAAACACTTGTGGTCAGTTTATAGGACAGACAGGCTGACATGCTACACATTAACCCAACCACAACAATACTGTAATTGCAATGTGAATAAAACCACTACAAATGTGTTAATAGTTGTCTGCTAGAGGCACTGATACAGAAATCTTCAGATCCTGACCTGGATGAAGCGATCAACGGAGCGGCAGGCCTCCAGGTACGAGCGGTGCAGGATCCATTTGCCCGCCGCCATCGCTGCCAGGTACTTCTCATTCCTCAGAGGAGTCCCTACGATGATGTGTGAGCAGCTGGGGTCGAAGGACTGCTTGTCCAGGACTACACCGCCTACAAGACCAGACAGAACAATGTAAGAAAGCATCTAAGATAAGATAAACTGTATGTATTATAAATGTATAAATAGCTGTATGTCAAAGCGCCTGAGTCAGACATTCATCCAAACTGCTGAGTCATTGTAAGCTGTTGCGAGTCAAACATATCCCTTTTCCTTTTTAAAGGTAGAATCCAACACATTTTCTACTGTTTTATGTAATCAATTTGTCCCTTTACAGTATATGTAATGTTTCTCTTTGTTATTGAGCATTTTGGTTGAAAACACTGTTTCAGTTTCAGTAAAAGCTACATTTATGAGGCAATGGTTTATTTGAAAAATCTGATCTCACAGCAGGAAACATCAGCAGGAGGAAATACTCCCATGGCCTGCAGGCAGATCCTGCTTTTTATTCATCAGGGATTATCTCCTCTGACTTCAGGCCTGTGATGTGTGATGAAACACTGTCAGAGGTTTAATTAGGTGGAGGACTTACCAAGCTCCTCTATGAGGTGACTGTAGTCGATGCGCTCCTGAGGGCTGAGGGAGGAAAGCTGGAATCTGGGTGGCTGCTTCTCTTCCTCCTGAGAGACAAAAGGACCTTTTAACACCAGCAGCTTGTTTGAAAGCAACAATAATACAGTTATAGAGATGCTTCCACTTCTTATTGATATGTAAATATGGATCTTCACCTGTGGCTCTGGCGCTACTGGAGGGTTGGCGAGAGGGAAGGCGATGCTGGGGGCTTTAGGAGTGAGGATGTCCATTTCTGGCTCCTCTAATGGAGGCGTGGTGACTCTCTGGCCCATGTGCTGGTCGATGACATCACAAGCAGCTGGGAGAGGATACAATGATTTCTATCTTTAGATGCAGTCAAATAATAATAATAATAATAATAATACATGAGACTTGTATAGCGCTTTTCTAGAAACTCAAAGACGCTTTGACAGAGAATAAAAAACAACAACAACAAAAACAAAACAAAGAAAAATACAAAAAGAGATAAACAAAACACGTCACAAAACACGTCACGTCAAACATATTTCCTATTTCATTTAAATTCTTCTACTTCTGGATCCAAACTGGTCATATGTAAGCAGGCGTCACGCAACATTACCTGTCATTTGGTTTAGTTATCAATGTTACAATTACACCTGGTACCTTTAACTACAAGTGATCTCAATTCACAGTGTAAATGTCCACTTACAGTAGACAGCACACGTTTCTAACTAGGTTTAAACTTTGAAAAAATACTTGATGTAAGAGGCTTTTGATCTCTTACCCATCTCCACCAGCTCAGAGTCCGTCATGGAGTCCCTGAGCACAGAGACGTGTTCTGCAGGGGGAGGAGGGGGAGGTGCGAGAGGCTCAGAGTATTGGGAGGGACTCCCAGGCCACTGCAAATTATCCGCCAGCTTGGCCCTCTCCTCCCGCGCTGTAGGGTCATCCCAAACGATCTGTTCACTCTGAGATGGCTCCGTGTTTATGTCCATAGCTGCTTCTCTGGAGACCCTGAAAACAGGACAAAGTGAGGTGTATTCATTTGGAGGAGGAAGTGTGTGAATGGATTTTATAGCACAACAACAACAGCTATTAATGTTGTTATAAATTGCTGAAGTTTGAACCCCTTCTTACCTCAGAGCTTCCAGGGTACGTCGGCTCCCGCAGCGTCCAAACCGATCAGGAGTCTGGGGGCCCGAGTCGGCCCCTCCTGATCCCACCCTGCTGAGTCTGACTGATGTCCGCCTCCCTGTCGTCAGCTTGGTGGCCGACATGATCTCCTGGAGCTGCTTTTGAAGGTTCACCCTCATTTCTAGGGTCTCTGAAATATCTGGACACAAGATGATAATCACCCACAGGAATCATCATGTCAATTGAAAAAAAATTGTTGGTTCTATCAAAATATGCAAGAAGCTTTGTGAAAATAAAGCTGAATAAAAACACCCACCAGTTCTTTCTGTAGTATCATTCATCTCGTCTTGATTTACGCTTCCATCACTTACGCGGCGTAATGGTGTGGTCTCTTCTGGGGCAATGTGTTCACTCTGAGGGTCATTTCATAAAAAAATAAAAAGGTAATTAAACGGGCAAACAAAGTAATTTCCCCTCTGCACTTCTTCATTAAATTACACTAAAAGATAAAATATCGATTCCCTGCAAAACAGTATCCATTCCTGAACCGTAAATCAATAGTTAGCGATCATTAAACAAATTACAAGGAATTGGCTAAAAGATAATAACTTAATCAACTCACAATGGAAGAACCTAGTAAATGAAATCTATGGAATGGTGAACACAACTATGAGAATTAGAAACCAAATACATTTCTTTGAAGAAAGATGGGGAAAATGGGTTAAGTATAGAACACTATAATGAAGATTTATAAGGACCATGAGGTAAGAATTGACAATTAATCTGTACCCGAGTATTAATATTATATCCATCCTTCTATTTGTATTATTATTATTATTTAATTCCGGATTTGCTAACTGTTATGTAGTTAATTTATGTATCTATATGTGTTTATTTTGTTATGAATGCTTCATGAATAATTTCTTAAAATGCAAATAAAACATAAAAAACTATATTTAAGGCCTCAGACTTGAATTGACACACTTAAACTCACCTTGTTGTCCTTGGCCTCAGTGATGTCTTGGAGTTGTAGTCTTGTGAAAGGTGGAGACCTCTGAGAGTTGTTGGGCACCTGGCTGAGGGTCAGGCTCATCTTGGGGTTGTAGGTGAACGGATATAGAGACTCTGCGACATGCCTCTGCTCCTCAGCACACTGTACAGGAGGACCAATCAGAAAACAGAAGTTGATCAAAGCAGCAACAATAATTAATTAAATGAATTAGCGAGGGGAAACATAGCCTCAACTGCGATCTGTTTGCAAAATGATCACATCAAAGCTGTTTTTGATTAAGTATTCTGCTTTTGTTTATGGGATGATAATTATTCGCCCCTGGTGAAATGTGCTTAGTGAATTTAAATGGTAACGTACAAAGCATCGCCTACAACCATGGAAATAACATCCTAAATTAAATTAAGTGTATCTTGACATCAGTTTATGCATCTTCTTGAGAGTACAAGACCCGAGGACTCAACTTCAATCGTTTTCCCCAACCCTTTCCTTAGTTTTAAAGAACTGGCTTATCTCTTATTTTTTTAAATGTATTGCAGCTCAGTGAATTGAAGACCATGTCACTACTGATATGAAATGCTTGTCTGTATATTTTTGCGTGATCTGACAGATCAATTTCATGTTTAAGGTGTTCTCTGCCTTTTTCCAAATGCATACTGAGAGCACCCTCTAGATCAGTGTTTCTCAAACTTTTTCATACCAAGGACCACTTAACCAATAAAGAAACACTCACGGACCACCTAACTCCACAAATATCCAAAACCAATAGGCCTGCTTACCACTCCAACAGTATATAACAAATTACAGCCTAATAATGACAGCTTAACCTTCTCTATATCGCCTCGTTCACACATTAAATCAACAATACAAATACAACTACAGATTACATAAGCATTTAAAATGCTCAGGTTTTACACCTCTTGTGAAATATAGACTACATTTATTACGGAGTTTATGTCTGAGCCAACAGACTCACAGATCGTTGGCTACTGAGAGGTATGCAAAATGGACCGCATGTAGTACGACAAAAACCTCCGCTGTGGATTTTCAAAACAAAATACAGTAACACTATGGTCGCAGGCCCAAGTTTAACTCTCTGAGGTCTAAGCCATTTTTTCACATTTTTGTAAAAATGCTATTAAAACATGAACCTTGGTGACCATCGGGCTGGCCTGCATGGTCTGCCTACAAAACAATAATAAAAAAACGTTTTTGCAGCCCCAACAACAGCCTCTGATCATCAACAGACTTCATGCAATGCTTCATTGGATGCATATATTATAATCTCTATCTAACACATCTACATCTACTTCCAGCATGGATAAATGTTCATAAAAGACATCCATTGTTTGTTTTATACGCTTCTTGAAATAAAATAAAAAACACATCATTTTTCTAGAACAGATTACAAATCACCTGAAAATGGTACAAACAAGTGGCAACATGTGTGATGAAACTTAAGCTCGCTCCATTGCGGAGATATTCCTGCGAGAGTGCGGAGAACTTACATTTATTTATTTATTTCAAATGTGAAATTTTACCAATATACTCACGGACCACCAGTGGGACCACAATTTGAGAAGCACTGCTCTAGATTGTTATTGAGAGTAAGTAGTTTGAGAGAAGTCATGAATATTTATTTCTACTTATTAAAAAGAAACAAGTCAAGTTTGTATTTAGTTTCATTATTCTAGTAAAAAATATACTTTAAAATTGAATGCAAGTAATAGGATATTAAATGTTTTTTTCAGGCAATAATGGCAGATGTTTTTACTTCTCAAATGGTTTTTTATTTTACTACAAACTGCATTTTGAAAACTGGCCTTTTTCCCCATCTTCTGTGACTTTCTAAACTAAATGATTAATCAATTAAACTCACAAAACTACCAATCACTAGTTCCAAATCTAAATCCTCTTAAGCTGTGAATTTATAAACTGCTTAACAAATATGTGTGAATATAGTTGTATGCAGTGCATTTAAGATAAATGAATTCACTTAGGATGATGTTTATATTTGCTGCAGGGAAACGTACCGCCTCCATCCAGCACTGGGAGACCACGTGCAGTCCTCTCTCCTTCACTCCTCTGTATTCCCGGGTGTTATCGCCCACTCGGCCCTGGTAGATGTAGTGTGTCACTGTATCGTCACAAGCCCACCTGAAAACAAGTCGAAAGAGATGGTTGTGATATTTGAATCTGGGTTCATTTAAATGAGAATAATGATTAGGGCCATCAATATTACTGAACACTTGGGCCCATAAGGATTGTTTTATTTAATACTTGAATTATTTTTTAACCCATCCTCTTTATGTTTACAAAAAGGTGTCAAATACCTGAAGTCAGCTCCGAGCGAGGCAGCGATGCCGTTGAGCTCTCCCTGCATTTTGCTCAGCTTCTTTCCCACACAGATCACAACACCAGCCAGAGGACCAGATTGCTTTTTTGGGACCTTAGAAACAATTTAAATAATACGTTTGTTTGTACGTTATGTCGAGAGTATATAGGTTAGTCTCATTTTCTGCAATGAGTGAGAGGTTGGCAAACAGGCATATTGTGTTTTTATGTATTTCAGTTTACCTCCTTCTCAGTGGTCTTGGTAAATACGGGGCTGGCAGAAATGGCTTGCATATCTGACGCGCTGGTTCGGGAGCTATTGGCAAGAGCCACCTTCAGGTTCCTGTTGATGACATCAGTCAGCGGAGTGTCCACCCTCTCTCCTGGTTTGGATCTCCCCCCTGGAGTCTCCAATGCTCCTAGTGCATCCTGAACAAAGAAGAAGTCCTTGATTGATTATATCTATGAGGAACTACTCATTGCTACAAGCCTTTAGCATGAAGAAAAAAGCACTTTCTACTCTGTGGGTTCCTACCTTAACGTTGAAAGAGGGCCTGAACAGCTGGTCTCTGCTGAGGAAGCGGGAGGGGGTGTCCAGCTGCAGAGAGGGTTCCTTCTGAAGCGGGTTCCTTCTGCCGCCTTCCTTGCTTTGTTTGGGGGTGCTGATCTCATCTTTGGGCTTCATCTCGTCCAACACGGAGCGGAACACTTTGCTCTTGAAGCGACCCAAATCGAGCGGGGTAACGGCCTTACCGCTTTGGACACCCAGCAAAGGGATCTCTGGGGACACACATGCTGGGGGGGGCATGCTTGGCTTCTGGGACCCACCGACAAAACTCTCATCATCTCTCTCTGTAGAAAATAAAATGATTGTCATAACAAAGGAAACAATGAAACAGTCGGCCTTAAGTTATACACAGTCTAAGTGCTGAAAAAAAATCGAAACAAAATTGAATATTTTCCCACTTAAATATTAGATAATTAAGTCGTGTTACTTAAAAACACCTTGCAGAATTCAAATTATCATACCAGTAAGTCGGTAATTCATTGGAATTTTGATATCATTATTTTTGTATATAAGGTTATTAACGAATACAAATAAAACATGCATTTAAATCCAGATATAAGCTTTATTCAAGACTCTTTTCTAACCTGGTGAGGGTGGCAGGTCAACTAGGAACCTCCCCTCCTCTGCCCTCCTGCCGGTCCGAGCAGATTCCAGTAACCAGTACATGGTGACGGCTGGAAACCCCCATTTCTTCGCTGCCTGGTACTTTGTGCCTTCAGGGGTCTGCAGCACTAGATGGGAGCTGGCCAGCATGCCTTTCTTCTGATTGGCCAGGCGCACAAAGTAATCCTGGACACTGCAGGAGGGAGGGAATAAAAGAAGAAGATTTAACAATAGGCATGGAGGAAGGAATCGTAAAATGTATTAGAGAGAAATATATTGTGTTCCAAAAACTTCTGCATATATTTAGCTAACTCAATATAATCGTACTTTGCTCCCAGGTGCTTGGCCAGCTCCACCAAAGACTCCCTCTCTGCTCCTGTGAACTGGCTGACAGACAGAACACAATCTTTGAGAGGAAGACGTCCGTCCATCACAGGAACAGCTGTGAACAAAGGGTTGGAGGACAGCGGCAGAACACTCTCCTTTTCCACACACATGGCCTAAAAATGTACAAGAGCAAAGCATAGATGAAGACTAAAGAACAATACAACATGAATTGTGTAAGTCTGCAACAAAATCATATTTTCCCAGAGCCCTGGGGCCTCATTTATAAAGCCTTGCGTAGGATTCACGTGGGAAGGTTGCTTACGTAGGACAAAACAAATAAATACGCAGACATTTTCCGATTCATAAAAGACTGCGTACCGGCGTAGGACTTGCGTACGGCACATCCTACGCCGGTTTCCCTGTATAAATCACAATCAACTCGAAATGCGGCGCAGCTTTTGCGGGCTTCACGTAACGCCCATATTTGCCTATAAATAGTCACTATCACAGTGCTCTGAGATTTGTTACTAACTGTAAAGTACTTACTCATCACTGTACCCTGTATGCCAAGGCAGGTCTGCCTTCACTTACTGGTCGGAGGCTCAGTCATTGGTACATGTTCATCTACAAAGCCATGCTGGGTAAACTACCTTCTTATATCTGCTCTTTGATCTCACGGACAGTGGCAAGTAGCTATTGCCTGAGATCCCAGGATGTGTTCTTATTACATGTGCCAAGTGCTAGGACTGTTTTAGGTGCTAAAGCTTTTATGTGCGCTGCTCCTCTGGCTTGGAACACCATGCAAAAAATATTGAAACTGAGCATTTTGATTCCCTTGCATCGTTTTAAAGCACGGCTGGATGAAATATTATTGGATACCTGTAAATGTAAATAGGTTGCTAATGTATACCCCTGTAATTATGTTGTGATGTCCTTTTGTTTTCTGTTTGTTTTTATATGTGTAACTAAATGTGCCGCAGGTCTCCCTTGTAAAAGAGATCGTTGATCTCAATGGGATTTTTTAACCTGTATAAATAAAGGCTACAAACAAAAAAAAACAAAGAAACGCCCCGTATTAATATTCATTTTGACTGACTGCATGAAGAAGATGGCAGGAAATGACGACAGAACAGCTAAAAAAGACATCTCACACCGTGTCAGATTTTGGTTATTTTGGGAAGGTCGAGATAAATCATATTGTTTGGTGGATGCAGTTTGAACCAGAGTAGCAGCATGGAGGTCAGATCGTCACCAAAATAAATAAATAGGTGGTCCGAAAAAAAAAAAAAAAAAAGTTAATGACAAAAAAATACACATAGCCTAACCTTCCTCAGGCAGTGTGTTTGTACCGCAAACATAAATCGCAAACATTGCGTAGAAACTGGCGTACGCCATCTTTTGAGCGTACGCACCGTTTATAAATGAGGCCCCAGGTCTTTTGCAAACATTAGACCTAAACTCAAATATATTCACTTGTGATTTCAAATTCTATTTTCATACAATGTATGAAATAGAGGTAAGCAGCAAACCCTCACATTTGACAAGCTGCAACCAGAAAAGGTTTAGTATTTTATCCTGATAAATCTACCTAAACAATAAATGGATTATCAAAAAGTGTGGATTTTCTGTCAATACATGAATTGCCTAACTCATGTTGCACCCAAAAATGAGAAAAGCAACACAAAAAAACCCTTGATTAAAAGAAGATTAACAAAAAATAAACATTTACCCCCTTTGTTAGACCAGTTGACAAATCAACAGATGGCACTATAATTACTAATCATCTGAAGCCTTGCTCCCTACATAGATATTATTAAAACAGTATGACATGGATCTTACCAGCCAGGTATCAGTGACCACCTCGTCCACTGTGGCCTCCACTGAACAGCCCAGCAGTGGGACCACGGCGTAGTCTGCCACCACACGTGTTCGGCCAATCAGCACTCTTCCTCCGTTTTCTGTCACCAGGACAGAGAGCTGGGCCTCGGCCTCAGCGCCAAAGCCCACGAGAAGGAAACATTTCCCAAAGAACAGTCCCGCCTCGCTGGCTTCATGCAGGGTGGAGTCCGGCTCTGGTCCTCTGGTGTGGTTGGGTGCCCAATGATCAGCAGACATACTGATGGACTTCCTGCTGTTGCCCTCTGCTGGTGGGTGCATGTCCACTGGAGGATGAAAGGAAATTGAAATGAGTATAAAATTATCCTATAAATCTCTAAATGGTGTCCAATTAAGCTAAGCTAACTCTTTGACTACAGACTAGGGATGGGAACAATTCATCGAATATTCAAAATTATTCAGGTATTCGAATATGAGAATATGAGTTATGAATATTTTTATTGTAATTTCTTTTTTTCTTGGATGGGGTGCCTAAGTTGATTACATATTATCAAATGGAATAATTCAATGTATACGACAGTGCCATAGCTAAGTGTGTTAGGTCTAAAGGTGTGTTTTGCTCCGCTCACCGGTCCCTCACAGCGGGCAGAGCTGCAGGTGCTGATCTCTCTCTCGCGTCCGGTTATACTTCACTCGCGTTTATGTCCATCAGATCTAGCTAGTTCTAGCTAATGATATGGCTGCCGCCCCTCCCTACAAGCAGATCACGCAGACTCAAACCTCATCTTATGCCCAAATGCGGCGCATTACCCCGTTGCGAGGTTCCGGCGCTAACAGTTCACGAGCGTGCTCCCCCCGTTATGTTGTTCGTGTATGATCCCTCTTTAATTTAAAAACCAAGTTATGTTTTAAGCATGAAAGCTGTTGGCCTGTTCAAACTGTGATCACCAGTTCAATACATTTGACAAATTCGACTTGGTTTCTATACTTATTTGAACATGTATTTATTTATTTTTAAAAATAAAACGTTTTTTTTTTGTAAACATTTTTCCCCCTAACATTTTTTTATAGGATATGTACATTTCGGTTAATCGGTTAACCGTTTTTTGGGGGTTGAATATTCTAATATACATTTGCTTTAAAATTCCCATCCCTACTACAGACACGTACCTACTGTAGGGTCATCATCCATGTACTGAGAGAGCAGATCTTCCTCTGCTCTTGTTTGCCTGGGTGTGCTGGGACTTGCTGCAGGGGGACCGGCTGAGAAACGGGAGGGGGGGATGTGATGGGCAGGAACGGATACAGAAGGTGTAGAGGGAGGCAGACAGTCTGGGTGGAGGTAGCTCGCTTCTGGGAGTAGACTGCCTTTAGTATAACTGTCCAGCAGCCACTGCACTGTTACTACATGCGGCCTGGAGAGTAACGTCCACACACACAAAATCCTTTTAATGATTAAACATAGTGCAAACCTGCTACATTGCAACAGTACTCTTTAAGCAGGGTTGTGTGTAATTGACTTTGTTAGAAGATATTTGTGGCATTTTTGCATTTGTTTAATAGTACTGCACTAAAGAAACACAGTGGTGATAGAATGAGGTGTTAGGCCTGATTAGGCAGGTGACGTCATTGTTGTCATTCTAATGAATGTATCTTATCTGAACTCTCATTAAAATTCTCAAAATCTCTAGTAGTAGACACATTTTTTCACCATTATTGAGACGTCACATTTATAATGTTTAGCTACAATATTTTCACTTCATTGGAGGAAACTCAATCCAAGCAGTTTTTTTCAATGCCAGGATTACATCAAATGGGAAATTCTAGCTGGAGTAATCAGGATGTATATGTTTTTAGGGAATTCACTATTTCATTTGTTGACTGTGAGGTAGTGTGGTCGGCTACCATTCGGAAGGTTGTGGGGGTTCGAGTCCAGGCCTTGTTGTCAACATATCGACGTAACCTTGGGCAAGATACTTAACCCCAGGTTAATCCCAATGGCGTGGCAAATCTTATATCAATGTGTGTGAATATTAGTCCCTTGAGCAGATAGCACCTTGCACCTATATCAATCCAGTCCATTTACTTATAGTTCAGCACTTTTTTAAAGTTCTGTGTGTTGAAAGGTCAAAACAGACAAAATCCCAGAAATCTATTAAGTGAGGATGCAAAAAATACAGTGTAAGCTTTGCAGTTCTGACCTGTGTGTTGACTTGGCCAGAAACACCTTGAAGTCGTGGTCCAGGTCTCCCATGACCACGTGTGTGAGATCCTCACTGGGCTGGTTGAAGCGCAGACCTCCTGCAGCATTCACAAGACGCCGCAGCTTCTCCAGTTTCTTCCCCGGCAGGCCGCACAGATACAGCTGCACAACATTCAACAAATGAGAAATAAGACCACAACTTTTTCTTTCACATTATCAAGAAATTAAAATTGTGTGAAAGGAAATCCACCCTATATTTAAAGGAGTATTCTTGTTGTTTACCTTACAGCCGTCCAGTATGTCATCAGCCGGGCATACGGTGAGATCCAGAGTATCTATGGGGTCAGGACCTTCCAGGCGGCTGATGGTGGCGTTGGTGAGGGCTGTGTCATTTATTGTCATGCTAGCATTGACAGAGATGTGGCTTAAACCCAACAGAGATGAACCTTCTGAAAAAAAAATAGGGTTATTTATGATACAGGTCACATACCTACACTCCTTATCAGACCATGAGGAATTACTATTTTTTTAAATACAGTAAACCACAAACAAGTGCATGTCACTTAGTGGCTCACCCTCCTTCTTGTTGCTGCCAGTGGGGGTGGACGTGTGTGGTCGAGTGGTCTTTGACGCGTTACGGTCCACAGTGTACCTGCTCTCATCTTGACAAAAGCCCTTTTCTATGCTGTCAAACAGCCAGTGTAGAGACACGCAATACACGTTCCACTTCCTCGCACACTCGTACTTCTGACCTGCAAACACACATAAAGACACCAGTGTTACTAGTAGCAACAACCAAAGCACACGCAACGATATAGCCAGGTTGATTATTGTTAACGTTGAACAATGACTCAATAAAAATGTCCTTCCAACTGAATGTTTTTTTTTAAATTTTGGCAAAAAGTAAAACATTGTGCTGGTATTGCTGCCAACTTACCTGATGGCTCGCTAACGATAAGGTGTGTACACTCATTCATTTTCAGCTGACCGGTGTAGTTGGCCCCGTGCTGATCACAGAGTCGCTGCACCTCTTTCCGCTCCGTGCTGGAGAGGCCTGTCACACACACAGTGCAGCCGCGCAGCACAGGGCACAGATAGTCCTCTATGGGTAGATCTGTATACCTGAAAAGACTGAAGGAGGCAGAACAGTGTGTTAATCATCATCCAAAGCCCAGTATTTGTCATATCATTATTATTTTACCATAAAATTCTCACAATACCATATAACTATTGTATAATTTGATTGCACTTATTTTGGTTGCATTGACTGGAGAACCTTCTTTTTTTTTATAGATAAATTAACAAAAACCTATTATATATATTTCGACAGTAGATGTTGGAACAGGAATGTCAATATTGATAAGAGTACATACCTGTCCTGAGATTTTTCCCAGCAGGCTTTGACCCAAGTGGGCAGCAGAATGGGTTTAGCCAGGCTGGCAGCTACCAGGTATTTCTTACTGCCCACCTCTCCTGCTAAGAGGTGTGTGACAGATACATTTAGATCAAGATAGACCCGTCCTCCCATGAGTTGCACCAGATCCATCACCTCTGTCTATAGAGATAGACAGACACAAACAACATTGAAAACTTAACAAGACCCTGTCATATAGTTTTGTGTATGTGTTTGGGATCTCAAAATCTTTTTCAGACTTTCACTATTAACAGCAAACTGAAAATAATGTCTTTGATGGTTTCTTAAGATTTGATCACAATAATAGTTTCTGCTTTCATTAACATAACCGTTTTTTCTACTAGCTCTATTCTGTGTTCCCTCATTATTTATGTTATTACATGTTCATAATATCACCTACAAAAGGCAGATAGAAGCTGAGACAGAGATAATATATCCCCACATCACCAGCATTTTCAAAAAGTTAAAGGGCAGATCTCCCCCCATTTGTATAAAATCCTTCAAATGATATCCCTAATCTTTATTTGTTTCCAGATGTGTGGATTGTGGATGTTTAAGTCATTGACAAACTTGCTGATGTCATTGTTATTTATAGGACTGCAGATTTCAAAGGAACAACAATCTGTAAAGACCAAGTAAACCAACCCGTGTTGGTTTATCCAGGCTGGTGCAGGAAATAGTGATGTCAGCCATGGCCATGTTGTAGACGGGCTTCTCCGCTTTGGGGACACAATGCTGCTGCTTCAGGCAGTACAGCACCACCAGTGGACTTACTACACGACAGCCAAGCTACAAAACAAATAACAAAGTGTGACAAAAAGAAGAACTACTTGACATATAATGGTTCTGCTAATTCTTATTAAATACAGGGTACCGGGTTAGATGTATTAAATATTGGGTTAGACCTTTTTGCAATGCAGAAAGGCTGGGGTGGTGAAACTGCTGAAGACAAACAGAGACTTGTCCTTTTGGTCCATTTGTAAAACAGCATCTTCATCGATTCTTTTCAAGTGCTTGTCAGACTTCAGCTCCAAAATGGCCTGTGTAAAGATGAGGAAAATACCATAATTCACGGTAAGCAAAGAGACAGCAAAACAGTGGAAACAATGTAATTATCAATAAAAGATTTGAGAATGGAGTTTACCTCATAAGCCTTGGCAGCATACTCTGTTTGGTGTGTTTTGCTCTCCACAAACTTCACAATGAAACATTCCTTGTCTCCTTTGGACATGGTGAACTGAATAAGAAGGCAAGTTTATGTATATAGCAAACTGACTTGACGTTAATGTTGGATGAAATAATTTAGCAGTAACATTAGCCGGAATATGCTCTTACTAAATGTGTATAAATACTATACTGGCAGTCAATTGGTACAACGTTATATGTTTAGCATACTAGCAAGCTAGCTTACTTACCTTCTCTTGTAGGTCTGTCAGAAAACGAAAGAGCCAGTGTCGATACTCTGACACTAACTATTGTGTTCGCCAACTTGTCATTTGAGTACTAGCTTAACGTCAGTATGGCTTGTCAACAAGAAACTCATCGAAATATAATCTAACGGTGACAAATTATCCAACGCTAACGTTACTTTAAACATAGCCTGCCCTTACAATGGATGTTTAAAGACAACGCATTAACCTACTCCAAGGGGACTGGTTAGCTAACATTCAAACACGCATATATAACGTAAACAATGCTGTACAATTAATAAGTACACATATTATCATAAACGAACGGTTATAATTATCCACAGTATTTAACACACTTATATAAACTTTGTAATAATTTAATGATAGCAGCTTGGTAAACTTTACAAAAATCCTGTTGTTGTTATTCGCGCCAACGGCGAAACTTCCGGTGTTACCTGATAATTCAACCGTGTGGAGTCGGACTAGTGTTCAAAAGTTCCGTAGGAACTAAATATTTATCGTTTGATAAATATTGTACAAATAGACAAGATGCTAAAACCAACACAATTATACAATATACAAACAATTATCAAAATAATAAAAGCCAAAAATGTCAAACCAAATTAATAAATGTACTAACTTAATAGATATTAAAAACAATATTCTAGGAGAGTCCTTTACTGTCAGACTGAGAGGCTCAGTGAACTAAAGCAGGGGTTCCCAACCTTTATTGTGCCAAGGACCGGTAGATACATTAAAAAAAAATCGCGGACCGGTTGTCAATTTTAACTGATTTTAATATTTACTCACCACCAGCAGGTAGCAACAGAGGCTAATTGTATGTAACAGCCTGAACAAATACTAGAACAATATGCATCCAAAACATATTAACAAAGTTTAAAAAAGAACCGGTGTTGTTTTTTGGTTTTTCGGAAAACCAAAAAACCGACGTTATTCAGTTTTTAAACCAAAACGGGAAAACAGATAAATCAACGTTTTGGTTTTGTTTGTATGATTTACGGATAATCCAGTGAATGCTGGGAAAATGTTGTTCGTTCCGGTGCACTCCCGACAGCATTTAGCACTACATCGAGATTAAGATTAAACTAATTTATTTTGGGAACAGCCGCATATATGCCGGTGTCGGACAGACACAAACACACCGAACACACAGAGCTGAGCTGAGCAGAGCACATACACACACATCATGCGCCTTGGTGACTGACTGGACATCTCCTTCAAAAAAATAATAAAAGGGGGAGTAATCGGGCAGTTCGATGTGTGTAGATGTGTGTGTGGTTAACACGTAGCAGCCTGCAGTCACTCTTAAACTGTTCTGATTAAGTTAAACACAGCGAAGGCGGTGCGTAAAAAGGCACAGCTCTTTACCGAGTATACGTCCCGCTGCCTCCTGATGCTGCAGCCATTTCATGAAGGAGGGTTTCCTTCTATAAAACAGCTGCGGGCAGCAGATCGTGAGAGTCCCGGACATTAATTCATAGATCAAGGCAGACTGGTTTACTCTCCTGTTTTGCCAATCCGGTGCTTAAACAAATAGCTCTACACCCCTGGCCGACATGTCCTTAAAATGAAGTCCGAGTTTGAAATATATCTCAAATAATGTATGCACCACCATTTCCCCACATAAACATAACAGTCTGCAATCAAACGGTTGTCTCCTGTGCGCTCCTCTTCCTACTTGGCGCACCGGTAACAAGAGGCTGAGACCTTAGGCTGAGCCGCCGAATCCCTCGGAACATCATAAAAGCCATTTTCAACGGTTTTCTGGTGAAAGATTAACTAGCTACTGGATGAAATAATATGACTGGTGGCATAGGTGCGAAAATTAAATACTTTTTGAAAAAAAGATTATGATAAAATATTTTTATATATTTATAATTCTGCAAATATTACGATAAACTCACAGCTATTTCGCGGCCCGGCAGTAACACCTCCGCGGCCCGGTACCGGTCCGCGGACCGGGGGTTGGGAACCCCTGAACTAAAGGACTCTCTGAGTGTTTAGATAGTCTAAGAAGTTATCTCAGTGGGTCTCAAACGGTTTGGTCACGATTAATGTAAACGATTATTTCCGAGGCACATGTTTATATGATCATTATAGTCAAAATAAGAGAATAAATGAAAAACAGGTATGAAATAGGCCTACTATATGACAGTAAAAAAAAAGTTTAAAAGGGGAGTGATTTGTAAAATATCCATAAAGAAATAGTAAATCCGTTTACAGTTCTGTTTCAAATAGGTGTTGAGAGATGTATCCATAGATCTCTTCATTTTGCTCTCAAAGTGCACCAGATTGATGCTTTAACTTCAATATTTAAAAAACAAATCTTCCTGGGGGAGCATGCCCCCGGACCCCCCTAGAGGATGTGAGGTCCTGTAGCGACCTGTACATTAATGGGAAACCTAAATGTTTGAGCACCCTCTATGAAACGTCAAGCTACCCCAGAGCACCCCCAAAATAAAAAAATAAATCTCTGGCGCCGCCACTGAGCCTGCAACCCCGTTTTGAAGAAATGTGCAGTGCAAAACAGGCTCATTGCAGCCACTAATGCTGTGATAAGACACACTTTTTTTTGCCAAATATCAGCATTTTCTTTCTTTTAATTTTTTTGCACAGATTGCAAAGTATTATAAATTATTGTTCTAGCAAAGGGATTGCACAATTGTATTATGTATTTATTTTTTTGACCACAGACTTATGGAGCATTGTTTTATTATCACTGTTCTAGCAAAGTGATTTTTTTAAAGGAATGCTCAAGTTCATATTGATGTATTTTAATAAATGTTAACTTGGCCCATTGCGTGACTATTTGTGTTGGGGGGGCCCCGACTTTTTTTTTTCTCCAAAGGGGGAGCCTGACAGAAAAAGTTTGAGAACCACTGCATTAACCTAAATAAGAGCCATGTTTACACTAGTTTTATCTAAAATAATACTTCTTATCGCAGGCTTTTTAGGGGGATGAAAACATATAATTATAATATATATAGGCTAACCTACTTATAGTAATTTTAAATATTTTTAAACATTTAAATCTTAAGTTAATGGTTTGTCCATTCAAGTTTTAATTGTCCCCAGTCATCCACATTGAACAATAACATCCGTTTACAATAAAGATTGAACTCAGAGAATTGTCTCTTGAAATAAATATGGCTCCTTAGCATATACATACAAAGTATACTAAAACACATGTTTTAAGATAACTTATTGTGAATATTACTTATTGTAATGTATTGTTTCTAACCTGTTACTTCAACAATTACAAATGTGAACACAAAACAACACTGTGGGTTCCCTTTTATTCTTAAAATTGTATGTACAAGTGCGACTGATTTTTTTTTTTTTGAATGTACATTCAATATAGAAATTATATACGTAATATTACATTGAACATTTCACAAATTGCACTAGTCTTTCACATAGATTCATAATCAGTCACTGTCATTCGTCATGTCTTAGCAGAAGCTCATTTCCGGTGGTTATTATTCACTTATAAATATTCTAGTGCTTTTTGCTTTCTGGGGGGGAAGGAGAATTACTTAAAAAAATGTGAGGCAGAAAGTGTAGCCTTCAGAGAGAGAGCAGAATGAACTATGAATTAAGTTTAGAGGAATAAGAGGCTGGACATTTGGAGAGTAGATTTGTGTCAACTTTGTAAGAGTGGATCGAACTGGACCTGACCAAACCAGATACAGTAAGACGTCAGCATCACTCAAGGCAGATAAATCATAAACACATGATTTAGATTTTCCATTTGAGAATCCATTATACAGACTAGTAAATGCCATGTTAATGTAAGAGGTGGATAGGTCCTGTGCACAAATGTGTCACAAACAAGGCCAAGCATCCTTTGATCATAATTTAGGGTAAGTATAGCCAATTAGGATATGACAAAGAGGATTAAGATAATAGAGAAGAGACAGTTAACCTAGAATACGCCTCAGTCTCCCAATGTCTTTCTCATGGAAAAAAAACAAAAATCTGGAGTAAAAAATATATTCATACAAAAAGTAAACTCTTCTGCGTGTCATTGGAAGAAACAAGAAAAGAAGCACAGAAACAAAACAAATGTGGTCATCAGTTAAAACAATTTCAAAAGTGTTCATGAAGACTTGAGTGCCATTTGCAAGGGGAGAGGAGAGTGATTCTGGAGGAGGTGTTGCAGAGATTTTGGTGACGGTCAATGACGGCCTGCTCTCCTCCGGCTTTCTCTCTCTCAGTGCCCTCGTCGGGGAGCTGGACAGTCCCTCTCTGAGCTGCGGCCGTGTAGCTGCAGGGCAGTCTGGGTGCCTGAGCGTGACTGTGAGGTGTGTCCATCAGCCTTGGTCTCCACTGTCGTTGTCCACAGGGGGTGGGACGTTGGGCATTACCGTTGTTCCAGTTCCTGCTGTAAGGTAGCCTGCTACTCCTGGACCTACAGGTGACAGGAAGAGAGATTCAGTGCAGGTGTGACCTGGAGGGATAGCTAATGGTTAGCTAAAATGATGTTCTTAAGACTACTCTATGTATGGAGAAGTGGTCACTACATTGACTCAATTTAATTTCTGTTAATTTCCTGGAACTTGAGTTGATGGATAATGAGCTGGTGGATGGAGATGGAAGGGAAGGTGTTAGGGAATTACATTTAGTACTGAATATGGAAAGGTGGGAATGGAAAATGAAGTGTGGGTCAAGATGGAGGTAAAGAGGCAAGGGATGGCAGTAGGTCAAGGTCTACCTGCATCAGAGCAAGAGAGAGGAGGGCTGTGAGGGCCCAGCTTAGGAGTCTAGAGCCCACCTCGCAGTGGGCTACTGGCGGCCAGGAGAGAAGGAGTGGATACCCCTGAGGAGGAAACGTGGAGGATAAACAGGACAGGGAAGGCAGAGCCAGGAAGTTATAGGTTGTGGAGACAGAAAGGGTCTCTGGGTTTAAGTGAGGAGGCAGCCACAAGGTAGTTTTTAGGATAAAGCAAAGCATTAAGGCTCAACATCAGCTCAGAGAAAGGCAGTAGAGACTTACCTTTTAGACACTGACAGAAAAATCATTTCAACAGCCAAGCTTGTTAATCAAATGTAAGGTGTTGTGAGTGTGCCGAGTGTATTAATATCAGGCAAAGTAAATGGAAATACTTTACCAGTCAGGTAGCCTGCGGTCTGAGACTCTGAGATGAATAGATCGTGTTTCTGGTCTTTGAAGGCACTCCACACTGAGGACTTGGCAAGAATCTCATTCACCTGCAGGGCAGCGATTGGCAAAGAGGTAAATAGGATTAAGAAACAGTATGATGTCATTTCAACAATTAGCAGCACTAATTGTCCAGTACTTGTATTTAATAATCCTGCTGTCCATGTATTCCTATCATACCTGTTCTCCATACTGCAGACTGCGAGTCATGGACTTGAGAGCCTTTACTATCTGAGCCTTTGTAGCGGAGGGGTTATCCAACGTCTCCAAGCCGATTCCTTCCAGGAGCCTCA